GACTCTAGTCACAGCCGACCTGGAGAAAGGGCTGGAACCAGCACTCTGGTCCTTCCTAATGCTCCGTGAGGTTCCGGCATGTCCACCGGGCAGCTAATCTCTCCACCTCGCCTGCCCTTCCCTCCCAAAGCCACACGATCTAAGAGGACACGCACCGCCTTCATCCTGGATACTTTTCTGGCTCAAAAAGGGACTGAAGAAGTACCTGTGCCCCCAGGTTCACGGCAGCATCACTCACATAACCAAAAGGTAGAAGCAACCGGAAGCGTCCATCGATTGATGGATGAATGGACAGACAAAACGTGGTCCATGCACACAACGGAATATTACTCAGCCTGAGAAAGGAAGGAAATTCTGACACAGGCGACAACATGGATGAACCTTGAGGATATCACGCTGAGTGAAATAAGCCAGTCATGACAAGACAATACTATATGATTCCACTTATACGAGGTACCCGGAGCAGTCAAATTCACAGAGACACAGAGAATGGTGACTGCCAGGGCCTGGGGGCAGCAAGGGATGGGGAGCCATCGTTCAAGGGGCATGGAGTTTCATTTTGCAAGATGAAAAGACTTCGGGATATGGATGGCAGTGATGGTTGGGTAAGAATATGAAAGTATCTAAGACCACTGAAATGTACACTTAAAAACAGATCAGATGGTAAATTTTGTTATGTGTGTTTTGTCACAATTACTAATAATTTTTTTCAAAAAGAGCTGAGCCGACATGGATTTCACCTCTAAATGGCCAACGCGTCAACTCGCTTCAGCCCACTGGGACGAGCAGAAGTTCTCTTAGCAGCCGGTGTAACTTCAAGCCTACTCAGTCACTCCCCCACCCCTCCTATTTCTCCATTCTCATTTCCAGTATCTTCTAGCCAAACCTTATCAATGAGACCAAAAAATTCACAGTAGCTCCATTAGCCGCTAATCTCCTGAACGCCAAGATCAAAGGCACAATGTTCAAAGGCACAAAACAGCTGGGACGTTCTGCCACGAGCCAGAGGGTGCCCCCATGCTGGCCCTCCCAGCCGCCTGCTCGCGTGGCTTCTCCAAGGCAGAGAACGGAGAACCAGACCCTCAGAGTTCCTCTGACTTCATGAAGCCAGGCTGCAAATGAGGAATGGCAGAGCTCTGGCTTCCGCCCCAGGACACAGCTGCAGCTCCCCTCCCATTCCACTGACCAGCCAGGTGCTTTGGTGAAGGCAGACGGGGGCCTCCAACGCAAACCAGCAGTGACATCCATTCTAATGGCCTCAGCGCAACGTGTGAGGGTTTTTTCTTCTGTTTCCAGTGCAGGCCTAATTTGCTTGATGTGGATCTTTGTTCGGAACCAATAGCTCCTTTTCCACACACGGAATGAACAGCAGAGCAGTTCCCTGGCCATGTTCCTCTCAGCCTCCATCCTTGGCTCTCTGCCCACCCCAATGACTGTCTCTCTCTGAAACACCTTCTCACCGTACAGAAAGCCCAGCTCTCGTCTCGCCTGGCATGGCAGACCCTGCCGCCATCCGCCCACCTCCTCTCTCTCCTTCCTCCACACTGGCCTTCTCACCCTCAGCACTACTGACATTCGGGGCCGGCTCATTCTTTGTGGTGGGGGCTGTCCTGGGCACTGCAGGATGTTTAGCGACATCCCTGGTCTCCACTCACTAGATCCCAGTAGCAGCTCCCACCCGCCAAACCCAAAACGTCCCCCCGGCACTGCCCAATGTCCTGCGGGCAAAACCGCCTGTGGTTCAGAACCATTGTTCCAGAGTCTAGGAGCTTCAGGAAGGCCCCTGGCCGCCCAGCCGAGAATCAGATTTCCCAGCCTGGTCCCAGCCAACGACCCACCGACGTGGGAGTACACACAGCGGGCTCCCTTGTCCACTGCACCATCCCACGGTGCAGGGCGATCCAGGGCCCAGAGTCCCCTCCCCACCACAGGTCAGGTGAGGCCAGGTCTCATTGGGACCACGCCCTCGCCGGGCGGTCACCCCTCATCTAGACTGCTTCCCTCCCTCCCCTCAGGATTTTCTCCTCTTTAGGGTTGAACTGTGCCCCCCAAAAAGATATGCTGACATCCTAACCCCCAGTACTTCCGAACGTGACCTGATTTGGAAATAGGGCTGTTGCAGACGCGAGTATTTAAGATGAGGTCATACTGGAGCAGGATGGGCCCCTAACGCAATATGACTGGTGCCCTAGAAGAAGAGAAAAGACACAGACACACATGGAGAAGGCCGTGTGATGACAGAGGCAGAGACCAGAGTGACGCAGCTACGAGCCAGGGAGCACCGAGGATGGCGGCAACCTCTGGAAGCCGGCGAGGCCAGAAAGAAGGAGCCCCTCCGGGTTTCAGGGGGAGCGGGGCCTTGCCCACCCTGATCTTGGCTTCTAACCTCCAGACTGTGAGACAAGGCACTTCTGTAGTTACAAGCCACCCAGTGCGTGGTGCTGTCACACAGCCTTAGGCAACTAACCCACACCCAATCCCTGCATCAGGCTCTGCTTCAGGGAAGCCATCCACAGACACCTGGCCTTCCCACTGCGAGAGCATCAACTCCAGGGCAAGCCTGAGATGGGAGACAGGAGGCCACTCTTCCCTCACTCAATTTCCACAAGCCTTTCTTTGTGTGAGAAGGAAGGAAGGAAAGGAAGAAGGGAGGGAAGGAAGAAGGAAATTCACTTTGGGGAATCCTTCCTTCCTTCCATCCTTCATTCATTCAACAAACAGTACTGAGCACGACCACACGCCAGGTGCTGTTCTAGATGCTGGGAAGACAGAAGTAAATAAAATAGACAAAAACCTCTGCCCTCATGGGGTTTACATACTAGCAGGGGAGACAGACAGTCAAATGTACGGCCTACGGGATGATGATAAGTGCCATGGAGAACAATAAAGCAGGAGAAGGGGACATGGGGGGCCCAGAGCGGGGGGGCTGCCATGTAAGCAGAATGATGCTGCAGATACTGCTTCCGGGGTCAGCTACGGATGCTCCCACGGTCCCGCTCCGGCATGGTCTCAGCGCAGGCAGGCAGCAGCACACCTGGCCTCTTTCTTCTGCCCGAGCCCTTCTGTGGGGTTGTGGGAGCCCACCTGGCCCGCGTGCAAGGGTGGAGGCCACGCTCCAGCAGAATGACAGTCTGCCCTCCCCCACTGCCGGAACGGCGACCTTAAGAAACACTGTTGACTGCTGAACTTCCCTCATTCCCTGTCTCCTCCTCACCCCCTCATGCCTCATTCCTGGGGTCACCCCCTAAATCAACTACCTGCACCCAGGTCCTTGCGTCAGCCTCAGATTTCAGGAGAACCAAACTACGGCACACATGCCAGGAGGGCTTTGCTGGTGACATTTCCACCAAGACCTAAAGGAGGTCAGGGATGGGGATGTCCAGAGTGTCTGTCTGTCCAGGGCCTTGCACCAACGTGAAGAATGGAGCTTGGCCATAGAGAATCTATTTGGTCGAGTGGGTCTCCCTCTTTCGACTCTAAGTTTCTTGACAGTTGAAAACCCAGTGATATCAAATATCAAAGAAGATACATGGACACCATCCAACAGAACCCGATCACGTGATGGGAGGCAGGATTGGGAACTATAGCAGACGCTGCCAACACCTCTCCCACCACCTCCTGGCCATGACCACTTCAGTGCACACAGGCCCACATCCCGATGCCGGCAAATGCACTTTATTGCATCTGTGGAGGTCCAAGGTCTCTTTATCGGCCAGTGTAACAGGCCAGAAAAGCCAGGGGATGAAGCTCCCCATCTCCCAACTGCGCTCATTCAATGGCTGATAGGAGCTGGTGTATAAACGCCCCAGCTCCCTCACTCTTGGGGTGGAAAGACTCTCAGGCGTGTGTCTGACGCTGGCTCCCTGTTTCCCCAGCACGTTTCAGCTCCAGTCACCCATAGCGGTAGCCGGCCTGATAAGCCATCCTTTACATGACTTTCGCATTCCGGCCTGGTGTTTCTTCTAAGTCATCTTCCTAATAAACGCCTTCCCTTGCCTTGGGGTCTTCTTCTTGGGGAATCCAAACTAAGAGAGGGATAAATCTCCTATCTTTGATGGTGTGTATAGACATAGAGACATACACACACACACACACACACTCTCTGACAGTGGAGCAGCCCCTCCAGACCTCATGTTAAAAACCTAACTTCCAAACGTGACACTGGATCATCAAATCCTAGGCCAGTAGAACTCAGCTCTGAGAAGCACCTAGGTGTGTTTGATGCAAAATTATCCCACCTGCATTACACAGGACTGTGGTCCCCAGCATGGTTGGGCTAGACCAGCCTCCAACTGGCTGGGTCTTTCCCTTCCCTGGGGCTCCCACCACATCCTTGCATCCACAGTGGGTGCACTGTCATCTTCCAGCCCACTGATCCCCAACGGAGGGACGGCCCACTGGAGAGAGAGCCCGTCCGTGGGTGGCTTCCCACGCAGCCAATTGCATGTCCCCGGGCTGGAAATGGGAGGGAAGCCAATCTCACAATTTGCCTGAAAAACATCCCTCTATCATCCTGTTCTTCAGCCCTCATTTTATTTTTCCCAAATCAATTTCCCAAAGTCAAAATGACTGATAGCTTCGTACCCCGGACAATCACTGTCCTTATTAAATAACCCGGCATCAATGACAAAAAAGCTCCCAGGTTGGAGGTGGGTACATGAATCTATACATGTGATAAAATTTCATAGAACTACACACACGAGTGCACGTGCACACCCACATACAGCGGTGCATGTAAAAACCAGTGAAAACTGAAAAGAGTATGTAGTCTAGCTGCCAGCGTCAATTTCCTGGTCCCACTAATGTACTCTGGTCCTGTAAGATTCATCACTGGGGTTGATGGATACAGAATACACAGGAACTCTCCGTACTGTTTTTGCAACTCATGCGTCAAAAATTATTTCAAAATAAAAAAGTTTTCAAAATGCAAAAAATTTTAAACAGTAAATAAAAATCATTTCTTTCAAAAGCTTCAGAGACACCACCCACCCACCCCTTACCTGAGAACTAGGGATCAGCGCCTTCCACCAGTGGCCGCCCTTGACCAGGTCCACCTCGCACAGAGGCACAGACACCTTCCCGATGACGCAGTGGCGTGAGAATTTATCAAAATCTACCACGGTTAGAAGCAGCGTCCGCCGCTGCGCCTCGAGGAAGGGGATCTCGAAGGTGTAGCGCTCCTCGAACACGGGCTTCTGGGTCTTGCGTTTGACCCCCGTCTGCTTCGAGTTCTTCTGGTCCGGCAGGAGGCAGATCTTGACGTAGGGGTTGGAGTGCGCCATGTCCTGGCGCGAGCCGTCGTGGGAGATGGGGGGCGGCAGGTCCCTGGCCTCGATGACCCGCACCGTCAGGTGGTTGTGCAGCAGGTCGTACTGGGTGCTGAAATGCAGCATGCCCAGCTGGTACTTGGACAAGATCTCCTCATCGGTCAGGAAGTCCACGTCGTCGCTGTTGGAGTCAAGGGAGTACAGCCGGGGCTCGAACTTTCTGAAATAATCGTCCGGGGTATAGGTCCGTCTGAGCACCGAGGGCTGGATGGGCTCCTTCTTGGCGCTGAGAACGCCAAACTCGATGGGTTTAATATCAATGAGCGGGGAGCTGGGTCGTCTGGACTCGAGACCTAAACGGCCACCAGAAATAAGAAATTAACACCGCCGCGTATGGGACCAGACCTGGGCCGCTTTGTGAGATAGGCCCCATTTCCCAGATTCTCACATCGTTCACTCTGCTTCCTAATGCTCTTCACCACCTGGTCTCCACACTCTGAAATCCTCTCAGTTATCCTGAGAGGCAGCAGGGTGGCATTCTCGGCTCCATCCGCATCAGCACGGCAGCTAAGCGCCAGGCGCTGTTGTAAATGCACGGCGTACATCAAGTCATCTAATCTTCACCAGATGTTAGAGAATAACTGTATCCCCATTTTACAGATGAGGAAACAGACAGTTTAAGTAAGCAACTCACTAAAGGTCAGACAACTAGTAAGAGGAGGAGCCAGGAGTCGAGCCCAGCCTGTCCGGCCCCAGAGCCTGGCTCTAACCATTACCCTGTATTGCCTCCACTTTCAGAGTGTGGACTCAGGGCCCAGAGTGCCTGGGTCAAACTGCATCTCGGCTCCTTACAGGTGAGCCATGTGACTCTGGGCACATTCTTTAGACTCTCTGGGACTCGGTTTCCCCATCTGTAAAAGGGAGTCCATAAGAGCACCCACCTCAAAGACCGTGGTGAAGATTGACTGAGCAAACGCACGGAGAGGGGTCGGCACAGAGCGCGCACGTGGTAAGAACCCGCTAGATGGGAACTCTCGTACTTCTTCAAGGATCATATGAAGACCTCATCACTTAGGGGGTTCCTCTCTCCTCCATCAACCAGCAGAGCTCACTGCTCCCATCATTCTAATCTTTGCTCATCCCTCTATTCTAGAAACGAGCCCTTGGCATTCTTTTTTTTTTTAAACCACTTAATTGAAGCACGATTGATATGCAAAAAGCTGTACATATTTAATACATACAACTTGATGAGGCTGGAGGTAAGTGTGCCCCCATGAAACCACCACCACAGTCTGCATAGACCTACCCAACGCCTTCGAAAGTTTCCTCCTGCCTTTTTTATTTAATTAACTTTTTGTGTGTGATAAGAACACAAGATCTACTCTTCGCAAATTTTTAAGAATACAAGACAGTATTGTTAACTTTATGCGCGATGCTGCAGAGTAGACCTCTAGAATGTATTCATCTCACATATCTGAAACCGACACCCCCCCACCCCGTTCCTACTGCCCGCTGGGAACCACATTCTGCCCCTATGAGTCTGACTATCAGATTCCTCATATTAGTGGGATGTGTAGTATTTATTCCTTCTTGGTATTCTTGTGAATTGCCCAAATAACTTGACTAAAATCATGAGAGCTTCGCCTGGTGCACGGTAACCACTCTGATCACTGTGTGCTAAATAGAAATCACCTGCGTACAGAACTGGGCACGAGACTCAGGAACCATCTAGACCAGCGCTATCCAACTGAAATAAAACGCGAGCCAGAAATACAAGCCACAGAGGTCACTTGACATTTTCCAGTGGCGACAACTTTTTAAGAGTGCAAAGATGACAGGTGAAATTAATTTTAATATTTTCTTTAACCTAATATATCCAAAATATTCTCATTCCAACATGTAATCCATAGAAAAACACTTCAGTGAGACACTTTAAATCATCTTTTTTTCACACTGGCTTCAAAATCCAGTGTGTATGTGACACATACAGCACATCTCCATTCGGCCCAGCCCCATGTAAATGCTCGGCCGCCACATGCGGCTGGTGGCCGCTGTAGCGGGCAGCACAGGTCAAGACCAGCCCTCTCATCTTACAAATGGAAAGGCTGGGGCCTGGAGAAGGCCGACATCCCCTCTGTTTCACTATCTTAAGCCCCTGAGCTTTTCTCTACTTCCTTTTTCTTCCCCATCTACTGCCAGGAAAGATCAGACACCGAATTTCCACCTGGGTGGATTTGTTTCATGAATTTTAAGCTTTTTCCCTCTGTTAAGCAAATTTCAGACATCAGCTGAATGAGGGAGCAAAGAAACTCTAGGGGAGTGAGAGGAGGGTGGGAGTCTTCAGGCTTTTTACTTTCTCCTCCCCACCAAATCACATCATTGGGTCAAACACATACGCTATACATCAGAGGGGACAAACTAGGGGGCCTAGGGCCAAATTCGACCCATAGATACATTTTATTTGGGTTTAAAGTAAGGAAGTTTCCTATAAAAGCCCAGATTGCCAGTTTCTTTTTAGAAAGATGAGGCAACACTGGGCCCACAATCCCACATGGCTAGAGCTGAGTGGCAGCGGCCCCCTTCTAACAGGGTATTAGCTTTGCAATTGGCCACAGTCCCCACCCTGCCCTAGTACCCTCTCAAGGCTGAGAGTCAGCTGCCATTTATTACTGCATTAGGGCGACATTTATCTCTATCCAGCACTCTGCACTCAGTCACCGACACAATCCACCTGGCCCCTGAAGTCACTTGAATCTGCAAGCCCTGCTGTATAACGTGGTGACACTCGCCTTTCGGGGTCTGAAATGATACATGCTGCCGATGTCAATCAACTGAGCCAATTCAAGGAAACGTGTGATCAGTAAAAACAAAAATCTATCAAAAATGACTGCTTCTGAGTGAACTCAGCAATCAGGTGCGATGCACTCCTGTCACATTGTCATTATCTCTCTGTTCTCTTGTCTCCTGGACTGTCGCCCCACTTCGACTCCTCCCCAGAGACGGCCCTGTCCTTCACATCTTTCTTTGGGGACACCGCTGACTGTCTGGGAAAGCCAGCTCTCTTCCCTTGTCCTGGGGACCCAGCTAATGGGATTTAATCCACGGACTCTGAATGGCGGCTAAGCCTCCAAGCTTTAACGACCCGGGACAGCCCAGACAGTCACGGCAGAGACACTCACTTGAAATCCTCCGGGTCAGGCTGTGCGTGGACTTAGATGTGTCCGAGGATGAGCATCTCCGATCGGGGGAGCTGGTCCGTGGAGTCAGAGGGACTTCGCTGGCTGTGTGGACGGAGTCCCCGTCCTTGTCACTGCTCCGGCTAGCCATCCTAGAGGAGGAAGAATGTCTCAAGGATTGTCAAAGAATCCCCAGGGACTGGCATCTCTGCCCTTGGGGGACAGACCCAGTTTACACAACTTGGATTCAAACAACGCAAATCTGAAATAGTGTGGTAGCCTGAAACTCTCAGTAACGCTTGCATTTTGCACAAAATATGAAATGACATGAATGGATATGAATGAAGATTCCCCCAGACAGAACAATCTGTCAATAATTTGCCTAAGGGCAAAGCTGGGGCCATGGGGAGGACTCTGTAAACCTATTTAGGATATTGCCACACGGGGGCGCCACCTTGGTGAAGACAGAGGAGACCTGTCAACGCCGAGTCTGGAAGGAACCACGTGGCTGTTTATATGCACCCGACTTCTGCAAGTGGCTTTTGGTGCGAATTGTCCTGCTGTTTCAACAGCCGCTGTGTCTATAACTTACATCTTTTAAAAAATACCCTACGGCAATGTCATTCAAGCGTTCTTTGAATGGCAGGGCAATGGCTACAAAAACGCCCTGAGAAGCAATGATTTAAGAACAATAGTTCGATGTGAAGAAAGAGCTATGAACTAGCAGCAGCCGTGGTTCAATGTGGCCCCCAGTGAGGATGAGAAACGCTGACAACATGGAAAGCACCGTGGGGGTGGGGTGGGGTAGTAATTAAGAGCACGGTGTCTGGGTTTGATCCCTGGCTGTGTGACCTTGGGCGAGTCCCTTCCTCTCTCTGTGCCTCTGTCTCGCTGACTGTAAAATGGGAATAACAGTACCTACCTTATATGCCTGCTGAGAACACTGAATGGGTTAACACAGAGAAGATGCTCGCAACAGGGCCTGCTCTGTCTAGGTAGGCGCACGATGCATTTTAGCTGATGCTGTTACTACAACGGTGGCTTCCAGACGCCCCGATGCTCATAAAGCTAGGTAGGGATGCCAGGGGGAGGGGAAGGGTGGGGGAACAGACGCCGGCGATGTGGCCATGAGGGAGGCTGCTGCCCACGGCCCCGTCAGCTGTCACAGCTGTAGACTGATACCTTGCGTGACTGCATCCCCCAACTTAACATTCAAGCCCGCGAGGAAACTAGTCCTGAAAAACGCAAGTTTCGAATCCCACGAGGTCTTCAGATGCATCCCGTGCATGAAATGAGACTGATCTAATGTTCTTGCAAAGCGATGTCAGGGTCACAGCCAGGACAAGCCCCAGCATGTGAGACAGGGGGGCCATGCCCAGGCCTGGCTTAGCTCCTGCTCCTGCTCTGAAAGAGGTGAATGTGGCAGATGGGGGGAGGAGCAGGGGGCACAGAAACGGGGTCAGACTGTATCAATCATTCCTCTCTCTCCCTTACATGCAAGCAGCAGCATCTCCCAAGGGAGGCAGGGCCAGAACGCTCTGGCCACTGGGGCACCATGTCCACCTGTGTGTTTCCCGGCTGCCACACCTCACTGCGGCAGCCGCCTCCACCTCTGAAGCCCCATCGGTCTTCGGGCATCAGCTCAAAGGCCACCGCCTCCGGAAGCCTTGGCTGAGTCCTCTCAGGCCCAGTACCACGTATGCCCGAGCCGCCCCGGCCTCCTCTGCAGGCCCCGCACCGCCCTGCCCCTCTTGCGACAAGCCGAGGCACGCTGTTCCCTCTGACCAGCGTGTTCTTCTGTCCCCTTCACGGGTCTGGTCCCTTCTCATCATTCAGGTCTCGGCTTCATCTCCCAGCCCGTCAGCCCTTATCCCTGCACCCTCCTTATTTCCTTTTCAACACTGCACTCAACGCATCTTTGGTCGTGTCTCACTGCTCATCTTCTGCATCCGACACTAAGCCGGGCTGCGTGCAGGCAGGGCAGTGTCTGTCTCCTTCACGACCGCCGACCTTGCCCCAGCTCGGCCACTCACACGTTTGGGGTGCTCCACATTGATGTTCCCAATGAGTGAATGAACAAAGCCTTCCTGTGGTGCACATCTGATGCGCCTTGTGTCACGAGGATCCGAGCGCGCATTTTGTCCGCACCACCCCCCCACCCCCAGCAGGGCACACTTCATCATGGTGGGGTCTGTACTTATTATTATTGAAGGTACCAGATGCCAGGCAGCTACGATGTGCCAGGCACTGCGCTAAATGCTCCGTAGGAAACATCTCATTCCATCCTGAAAACAATCCAGGAATTACTTGTCATTAACCGCCCCGCCCGCTTCGCAGATGGGGAAATGGAAGCTCCGGGGCAGGGGGAGGGGAGGATGAGGAATTACTTTGCACCACTGTTAAACGGGAGAACCCCAACTGGATCCAGCAATTCCAGACTCCAGATCGCATGGTCCACCCTACTGAGCTGGGCATCCCCTGCGAGGCCAGTAGGAGCTCTGCACACAGTAGGTACTCAACACGTGCTTACTGAACAAACCAATAATCTGACTTTAACTCACTCTTCACTGAGGGTCTTTCCGGCATTGCTACAAAAGGAGCCAGTCGGATTGCACAGCATTCCTGACCTTCACCAGCCCAGCCCAGCCAAGGAAAGCGGGGGACCCACAGGAAGGACAATTCATGGTGTGACAAGTAATGGCGTGTCCCCCAAAATCACACACACAAAGGGCCAGCTCAGCTGCCACATGCCGCCCTGCAGAGAGGTGTGCCCTGTGGTTCTTGGCTCAAATGTCACGGTAGGAATAGTACTGCAAAGCCTGTACACTTGACATTTCTCCTCCCTGCCTGTTTGATAACATACAACTGCCCACTTGGTAAATAAATCTGGGGAAAGCACAAGCTGTAAATTTGCTTTTTGAATGATTTAAATCTGCCACCCCTTTACAGATTTCTTGTAACATTTTGCATTATGTTGAGTGCCAAAAATGTGCCAAGTACTGCCCGGGATTTAAGGGAGACGTGGTTCATCTTGGGAAGCATAAAGGTCATGTACAGCCGTTCAGGCTGTAGACTGCACATCTCTGGGTGGTACCATTTATCATGGCTGTGGGAATGGCACCTCCTGGAGTTGTGCAGTGTGTTGGCCCTGCTGGGAAGGTTCCAGCCCATTTCTCTGCTTGTGATAAAACCAAAAGAAGTGGTTTCCCATTGGGTCTCAACCCCTTGTCCCCAGAAAGAGTCTGCTGTTTGCACAAAGGGTGCAATTGTCCTCCAATCCAGTGTGAGGATCTAGGCCACGCGTCTGTAACACTCCACATCTGGGAATCCAGGGGAAAACACGGACCTGACTGATCTTCAGGGTCCATCCGGGGGTGTCCACTGGTTCAGGAAAAAACCCATATTCCCTAACCTGGCACTGAGGACCCCACAGGACCTAAGCTGGCAGGCCCATTTTCCATCATTCCCCCAACTCCTCTTAGATGTGGTGTCCATTTGTGGTGCCTGCCCGGCCTGGGTCCACTCCCCCCTCTCTGCTCACAGAACCCAAACTGTCTTTTACAAACGTCAGCCAACGACAGGCCGACCCCGCTCCTGGCCCTGTAACTGAAGTGTTCCTGGAGCACAGCCACCCCCGTTCATTGTGTCTCGTCTATGGCTGCTTTCTCACGATGACAGAAGAGAGTCGTTGCAACAGAGAAGAGCCTCACGAGGCTAAAATATTTACTGTCTGGCCCTCTACAGAGAAAGTTTGCCAACCCCGGGTCTCCTAGCTTAGCCCATGTGTTTTATGGGGGAGTGACCCTTCCCCTGGTTCCAGAGTGGTCAGGCAACCCAGGCACCATTCGAGCATCACTTTCTCCAAGCAAAAGTGACTGGCTCACATGACCGGCACATGACGCAAGCCAGGGCAATGAGAGCCTTTCCTGGTGTCTTTGCTGCTGTTAAGAGCGAGGCAAAGAAGAAAGCAAGCCTAAGAATGAGGCCAATACAGAAGAAAGAGAAAGAGAGAGAGAGAGAGAGCATGCATGCCTGTGACATCATTTGAGTTCCTGGATCCAGCTATGCCTGAAACCATCATCCCTGGATTCTTCTGTAACAAGACTCAATGCAGGACTGTCATATGAGTGTGAAGGGGATGCATGCACAACTCTAGGTGGTGACTGGACTTACATATCTACCTTCTATACTGGATTTAAAATCCCCTGAGCATGGTAATGGGACTCTATCTAGCTTTGTGCATCCCACAGTGCCAGGCACACAGGGTGTACTAGAGACATGACTAAAGAAACTGAGATTAACTTTCCAGCCAGACGATTGGTGCTTGCAGGATTCAATTTCTGCCTGTAGCTCAGTCAGTCAGCCAACAACTATTTTTCAAAGTGAACAAGACAGATAAAACCTTGCCCTCACAGAGCTGGCATCCTTCTGAGCATGGCTTGAAAGATACCAGACGGGCTGAGCCAACCTCCCCAAGTCGGGCTCCGAAAAATGGGAATGACCCCTGGATTAATGAGTTGGTTTCACCAAACCTCTCAACTCTATGCACACCTGTGGGATGCAGGCTACCATCTATGAATGATGGAAGAGTTGCTTCGGGTTGCCTTTATATCAGTTGAATGAATTGCGATCAATACCTGATATTGATAAAAATGGATATTTACTACTGCGCTAAGCATGTTATGTACATATCCCATTATCGTTAATAACGACCCTATACAATAAGTTCTATCACTGTTCCCACTTTACAGATGCGAAAACTGAGACCAAACAGCCTAAGAAGAATTCCTTACATTTATGACTGCCAACAAAGTGTCAAGCATTCCTAAGGGCTTTCCCATATCCGAATTCCTGCAATCACCACAAGGACCCGATGATAAATACTGTTCTTTTTATAGTCCCCATGTTAACAGATGGGAAGTTAAGGCACAGAGAGACCAAGCAACTTGACCAAGGTCATAGAACTAGAAAAAAGGAGGAGAAATAAGATGTGAGCTCACGTAGCCTGACCCAGAGCCATTCTGCTACGGAAATATTTGATACTTGCTTCTAAGAAAAGGATCGCGGCGTGACCCCCGACTAGGAGGGAAAGAAGGGGTGCCAGAGGCCCATGGACTCTCAGTGCAAGGATTTAGCTGAGACAGTGCGGGGTCCCCGCCGAGGCTGTAGCTGTGAGCCCCTGCACTGTCCCCTCCCTCTCTGGGCTTCCCTCTGCGTATCGTGGGAAGTTACGCTGGGTGACTCCCAGGCCCCGGCCTCTGGACTCCACGCAGACTCTCTGGCCACGCTCCCCTCCCAGCCACAGAGAGGTGGACCAGACACGTGCCTGAGAAGCTTCAAAACTGCATTCCCAAAATATCCGAGCGACTGGCAGATGGAGATGTTGCATGCAGGCGCGGGAGGAGAATGACTTGGAAATAAAATGAAAGATGCCAGAGAGAACATAAACAGCGTTGGAGGACAGGATGGAGCCTGGAGGTGCTTCTCTGCTTCCCTGTTCCTGAGGTTCTTGCTCAGACCAGCAAAGAGGCTCTTGTCTGTTCTTTCCATCCACCCATCCATGCAACAAATACTTTTCGAGCATCTCCTAAGGACCAGGCGCTGGACCAGGTGCCAGGACAATCTGTCACACGGACTTGGACGGACACCTTTAGAAGCTGGACATCCCTTGAAGAATATAGATGCTCACAGAGCTCTTTTTCCATTTGGAAAGACACTCAATGTGATCACAAGTGCCCACACGCTCAGCATCACCCAGCTCCCATCTCAGGCGGCCCGACGTGAAATAGCTGAACTACAGCCCCGCCGCCAGCTGGTCTCGCCAGCCTGCCAAACAAAATGAGAGGCACAGAGCACGGCCCCGCCCGCAGCGGAGGGGTCAACAGAAACTCGGCCTTTCCCTCTTTCCCACCCGAAATCCTCCCTCCCACAGGCCCGGACCCCCTCCCAGCAACCGAGCACAGAAAGGTCTTGGGATCGCCTTCCAGAAAGTTCAGAGCGGTTTTACTTACAGCCACGGAGGCGTCTGGGCAGGAAAAGGTCCCAAAATTTCCACTTCATCCTCGCTCGACTGGCAGCAGCTGGATTCACAGCACTTCTGACAGCAGCGGTGGCAAGTCCACCTGCATAGCAGCACGTCGGAGATTCTAGAAAGAAAACCCTGAGGCCAAGGCGGGAGGTGGGCAGGGGAGAGGGGTGGGGGGGTAAAGGAGGGCAGAGAGGAGGAGGAGGAAAAAAACACCCAAAATTATAATGAGCCGACGCCCCCCGCCATCCAGGGGCTCTGTCTCCACCGTGAACACAGAGCAAAATGTTTTCTATTTCTGTTTACCAACTGCTGGCATGAGGATGGCAAACACCAACTCGTGGGAGCCACTAACAGAGAGCAAAACATTTACAGGTATTTTCTCCTGTAGTTTCTGGGAACGTCTTTCTTGACATGTGGGTGGGTTGTCTACAACACCGTGAGGGCCAGACAATATGTTCTCAAAACACAATGGATATGACTCTGTCTTCTTGAAAGCCAAGCAAAAATCTTTTAAAACCATCATCTCTGGGATACGAATGTAAACAGACATAATCAAGCAGAATAAGTAGGGCTGGGGAGGAAACCCATCTCTGGGACCAGCATCTCTTCACGGGGATCTCCCTTCCACAGAAAGACCTCGCAACGGTGCTGTTATCAACATCTGGTGATTGTTTAAAATTCCACCTCCCCACAGCCCCACAGAAGACTCCAAAACGAAAGGCAAGCATTTCTTGGTTTGAAACCAGACCAAACGGACCACTGAATTCACCCACCTTGTTTAACGGTTCCAACTGCCCTTTTAGAGATCCACGATGAAGCCAGGGGCGCAGGGGGTGGGGGGATCACAAAAAAGAGAGAGACAAGACCAGTTTAGCAATATTCCAGCAACTCAAAAAAGAAAACAGAAAGAAAAGGGACAAAAAAGCCCTCCTCTTTCCACTTACCATCGTGGGAAGGGAGCTGACTTCCTAGCAAGGTGTTGCTATTCCCAGGGCTGCTGGTAGGCTCCTGGCTAACCAACACCGAATAAATGGGAAACTTGAGCATTTCGATCTGCTTTGCACCGTATGCTGTTATGAATCAGCCTGGGTGGATAGACAGTCAAGCTATCCAACGCAGCCACACTTCAGAAGACAAACCTTCCTCTACAGAAACAGCCAGGAAGCCCACCCAGAGGGACGCGCTCAGCAACACACAGGCAGGCACAGAGGGGATGTGACTCGGCACCCCCACCCTCTTGGAGGCCCTACCTTCCAATTCTGCTCCAATGGTGACGGTAGGGAGCTTCATATGATCACCCACAAATAGAGGGAGCCGAAAAGGAAGCCTTAACTGGTCCTGGGGGAGGAGGGAGGGGCTTCCTCCCTTCTTCGGCCCCACCCCCCACCCCATCGTCTTTTCGCAGGATCCCAAGGCACAGGCTCCCTCCTTCTCTTCCAGGCCAGGGTCTCGAAGGCTTTCCAAGTGGGCCCAGTAAACCAGGTGGGTTAGGAGGGGGTCCCACATCCCAGCCTGGGACATGTCCCAGAGAGGAACGGAGGTGGGGTTCAAACTCAGAACTTTGAATCAAGAGGGAGCAAGTTAGGGTCTTTTTCGATTCTCTTGCAAGGAGGAGAAAGTCTTCATTTGGTACCATTGCATTTAACATCTTTCTACCACTTGCAAATCTCTCTACCCTTCCTTCCTTTTTAAACAGAGAGCAGACCCCCCCTCGGAGCCATGGAGATAGCTCCATCCAGCTAAAATCTAATAAAGTGGCATTTATTCTCATTGTGTTTATTTTTCCAATTGCCTTCTGTTTATATCAAGTGATCCTAATTTTCTATTACGGTAGTGACATAAAGTTTTCCTTTTCATATGATTTCTTAAAGTTAAAAAAAAGTGACTCCATTTACAGAAAAAATATTAAGTAAGTAACAGTACAGGTGGTACAAAGCTCGTGAAAAAGCCAAAGTCCTTGAAGCTGTAAGGGAGTGACTGCAGCTTGGGAAGCGAAATCTCAAAACTCTTCCAAACGGAAACTCAAACCATACACAGAGCAAGAAAGTGTGGGGGGCCATGCAAAGAGCTGAGCGGGCAGGCGCTAGTTCCGGCCTCCCCAGCAGCCAATCGTGCAACTTGAGCAAGTCAGGGGGCCACTCTGAGCCTCGGTTACCTCTTTTCTTTAGTGGAAGGGCTAAGCTAGGACACTGACTATGAAAATGCTGGTGTGCTGACCAGCTGCAAAATATCTGCACCCTTTCTGTGGCTTATGAGAACAAGGAGGCTGTCAAGTCCAGTTGGAACCTACCAGGCACCAGGGACTGTCCTGGCTGATACAGGAGTGAAGAGAGCAGCAAACAGCCATGCCCTCGTGGGGCTTCCATGAGCAAGTGCTAAGAGAAAGGACAAGGATAAAGGGACGCTAATTCACAATCCATGCCCATTCTTTTCATCTGGGGAGGCATTTCCCGAGTACTTGGTGATTTGGAGAACCATTTATAAGACCACGATGAGCAGAGACAAGACCACCTGCGGACCTCCACTGAGGACCAACCATCCAGCTTTCTCAAGGCCCAGTACAAGATGAGTGTCAGGAGGCAAAGAGAAGCCAAGGAAGATGAAGAGGAAAGAGAAGACGCTCTGATGCTCCCAAGCACGTCGTCTTTCCTCACATCGGGTCCACTGGGTTTGTGTGTTTGGCCCGATGGAGAATTGATTCAAGCCAAAGAGAAAGAGAAAGAAGGAGAACCCAGACATTCTAGAAGAGGGGTTGGCAAACCATGACACGCAGGCCAAATCCAGCTGGCAGCCTGTTTTTGTGCAGCCCTCCAGCTAAGAATGGTTAGTACACTGTCAAATGGTTGGGAAAACGTCAAAAGAAGAATACTTCTTGACTCATATAAAATATATGCAATTCAAATGTCAGAAGAGAATATTTACTATCTGGCCCTTTACAGAAAAAGTTTAACACCTTGTTCTAGAAGGAAAGTCAACAAACATCACTGGGCCATCCTCATACTAGATGTTTAACAAATTCCCCACCACCCTCCCTCTTAGATCTCACCATGACCCCTAAGCAGCTGTGTGACCTTGGGCAAGATACTTAATTTCTCTGTGCTGAAAGTGGTCATTAAGAACCACAGAAGCCTGTTCTAATATTGTTCATTTCTCACTAGATTGTGTCTTCTGAGGGGCAGGGACCATACTGTTTTCACAGTTGTATCCCCAGTGCCCACATATAGTAGGTGGTCACCCAAGTGTTTGTCGAGTGACTACTGAATAGTCCCCCTGACAACATCCAGCACACAGTAGGTGTACAGTAACTATGACGTTCATTGAACTTGAAAAGAAGACCTAGGGACTTCATGAAAGGAAGCCAATGGAGTGAATCTACACCAGGCGACGGAGCACAGAGTTCCTGGCAGCCAGAAAAGGACAAGATGAGGGATGTGTGAGCCAGAGGGGAACCAGGGGACCAGCAGCCCCCGGGCTGTGGCCAAGGAGAAGTGAGGCCAGATGCACCCCGAATGTAGGAGCCTGTAGGCTTCTCTGTCGGGCTCAGAGAAGCCAGCCCCAGAAGCAAGCCGCTCAACGGGTGTGACTGCGTGACCTTGACACTGACCTGTAGGCACTTGCCCCCTCGTATTGAGGAGAAAGCTCTCTTAGTCAAGCAGCCCCCACGCACCCAAAAAGATGCTTGTTACTAATGTCAGCCCAAGGATTCTTGGGGGAGTTTCCCCAAGGTAATAGGGGTCCAGAACTCCCAGACCCCAATCCAATGGCCTAAAGTAATCAGCGGCCACCGCCGACCAGCACGCCTCTGGTGCGTCCCCCACCCGTCAGCACCCAGTGCCCGGGAGAGAGGATGTCCTTGTCCCTCCTGGCCGGAACAGCTGCCTCGGGCTCGCTCAGCCGGCCAATTAGCCGGAGCCGTCACCACGGCAACGCCAGCTGGCGGGCCGGGCGGCCGGCGCGCCCCGGGCCGCCCTCCCCGCGGCCCCTCCCCTGGGGTGGGGTGCAAGAGGGAGAGGGAGGGGGGAGTGGGGAGAAAAGTCCGCCCCACCCCCCATTCCCTCCCCAGGAAGCGAGGGTGCGCGGGCAGAGTCCACACGGGGTCCTTCATCCCGGGGTGTGGGGGTCCCCAGCCTCTTCTCCTGGGGCGCTGCCTCGCCGCTGCACAGGTTGCCTGCGCTCGGGCATCCTTTTTCTCGAGGCAAGTTTGTGGGAGCCTAACCGGGTGCCCTCCCTTGGGGGCGCTCCCAGTCCGAGGGGCCGCGCACCCCCACCCACCCCGCGGACCTTGCCCCCCAGCCTCAGCCCTACCTGGATGTACGCCATTTTCGCCCGCGCGCACTCACTCCGGCCCGGGCATGGCGCCGCCACGGCCACTTTGCCCTCGCCAACAAGAGAGAGGGGAGAAAGCAAAGGGGGAAACGAAGAAGGCAGCCGGGTGGCCCCAGACGTGACTGGCGTGGCTGATGAGCGGCGCCCGCCCCTCCGCCGGCCGCCCCGTCCTTGCCTTTCCCTGCGTTCCGGCTCCCGGAGTCGGGGCCGCCTCCCAGGGTGGGAGAGCTGGGGCGCCCAGGGCCCCCGCCTCGGCCTCCCTCGCTGTCCCGCGCTGCCCCCGAGGCGCTCCCCGGGCTGGAATCAAGCCGGGGCGCCTGGGGAGGGAGCCTGGGGCAGCCGCGGGGACTGCAGCGACCCCGGCGCAGGCGGGGCCGGAGACGCCGGGGCCGGTGCGCGCCAGAGGCGGGGGAGGGGGATGGGGATGGGGAAGCGGGTGGGAGGGGGCGGTGCACGGGTCAGCCCATCCGGTCGGCCCCGGGGCTGGCACCTACCGAGAGAAGAGCCCCCTGGGCGGCCCTGACGCCGAGGGGACACAGTCCAGCCCGCCATGGAGTCTGGAGCTGGGAGGGTCCTCCCCATCCAGCCCTCTCCCAGACCAGCTTGGAAAAACTTTACTCCCGCCCCACCGGACGCGCCTAGAACTGTTGCGGCGCGGAACGCAGAGGCCAAAGGCATGGGAGCCTTAAGTTACGGTGGGGCGTGGGGCGCCCCGAGGGAGGCGCTGCAGCCGGGATGCAGGGGCGCGCGGGGAGAGCGGAGCGCCGTGTCCCCCTAAACCTGCCCGAGTTGCGCCCTGGGCTCAACAGGTCTGGCATGGGGCGGCCCAGCAGCGCCACCCAGCGTCGCGCCGGCGCCGTGCGCGCCACTGCCAGCTCGGAGCTCCGCGCCAGCGAGCGTGCGCCCCCGGGCGGGTCCGCCCGCCTGCCTGCGTGGCTGCGTGGCTGGGGCGCCCTGGGCCTGGAGGCCTCCGCGTGCCAGTTCACCGCCCCAAGGCTGCAGAGCTGGGGCTGGCTCTCCAGGGACGGGTTTGACGTGGAACCTTGGCCTCCGCTGGTTCTCCTCTTAAAATGCCCAGCCATCTCCTGTTGCCAGACTCCAGTTTATCGACCTTTGAACCTCCCAGCGCCTCTGTCCTTTCGTCAGTGAAACTGGCATAAAATCTCTGCCCTGCCTATCCTCCAGGGCTGTTTTGTGGGAATAAATAAGGACATGAATGTGGAAGTCATTAGCGAAAGATGTAATGTACATACTTGTATATATTCCGTGTAAAAATCTAGCCTAGGTATACGGTTTTGAGTAAGAGAGAATATTTCATTGGTAGCACGTGGCATGTAGTGCAGGTTGAGCGCTTATAATTCTGCAGGCGCTGTGCTCTACGCCTCACAAGCATGATTTGCTTTCATCCTCGTCTGCCTTGCTCATTCCCGTACATCTAGCATAGAGCCTGACTGGAGTAGGCACTCAATAAATGTTTATATTGTTGCACTTGACTCCTCTTAACTTTATGAGGAGGGCCAGCCCCAGTGCCCTAGTGGTTAAGTTCAGTTCCTGGATGCAGGCTTATACCATTCATGTGTCAGTGGCCATGCTGTGGCAGAGGCTCACATACAATAAGAGGAAGATTGGTGACAGATGTTAGGACGAATCTTCCTCAGCAAAAAAACAAAACAAATTTTTATGAGGGAGGTGCTGCACTTATCCCCTATTTACAGATGAGGAAACTGAGGTGCAGAGAGAGAAAGCTGCTCTACCCAGGCATGCCAGCTGGCAGGTGGTGGCACTGGCCTTTGAACCCACGTGGTCTGCACTCCTAACCACCTTAGGGGATTTATCCACCGTGGTTCTTCAGCCCTGATGGGGAGGGGCGTTTGGTGGGGAGTGGGCTCCACAGAGGAGGGGTGCCTAATGGGATGGGTGCTTCTTGGGGGGACCTGAGAGGGGAGAGGATTTTCCCAGGTGCCCCCATGAAGAATAGCTAACCTTTTCCAGACTGTGTGCCAGGCTCTGTTTTAGACCTTTTCCACAAATTCAGTCTTTTAATTCTCCGATAACAGTGAGGTGGGCACGATTGCGTTCTCACTCTGTAGATGAGAAAAAAGGAGTCCTAAAGAGGTGAAGTCACCGGCCTGGGGGTATCGGCATCCGGGAGCTGGGGTTCAAAGACAGCAGGAGCCGGAATCCTTCCTCCAGCCTCTGCCCCTTGCCGCCTCACAATGCCGGATCTTTGGGGAAGGGACAAGAAATCCCTAGGGTTAGTTTGGTACCTTAATCCTTAAAGACCGAAAGCTGTCTGAGAATACCAAGCCCCCTCCTCCAGTGAAGGAGGTTATTTAAAGCCGGGATAACAGAACCTGTCTCTGGGGTTACTAAATGCTTCCATGTATGTAAAGCACCTGGCATGCAATAGGTGCTTAATAAACGCTTATTGAAGGAGTAAATGGATGGTAATAATAGCCACTGTGGATGCCTCCAACTCGTGAGTCATTATTATGATTGAAGGCCAGTCCCCCGCATGCCTTCTTCTTGAAGGCTCCCCAGAGCGGTACAAGGTGGGTCCCATCCTCGTCCCATTTCACGGGGCAGGAGGCTGCAGCTCCTCGAGGAGGGGTGAGTCATCCAGGGTAGACAGGTGAGAAGGATAAAAATGCAGGTCTGCTCAGTTCTCAAGGCCCAGCTCTTTGTGGCTGTGCCGTGCTGCCTCCAGTGAAGGAATGAATGAGAAGTCAGTCCTTAGTCACTCATCAGAGGCCTCGGATGTCACTCCGAGACTGAACTTCAGGGTCCCCGGCCCCGCGAGCCTCTCCTTGCCCCTCCCAGGGACCTGTGGTGCGGCTGTGAGGTGTGACCTGGACTCAGACCAAGGCTGTGCCTGTCTGGACAAGGCAGCTGGCACCCTCACAGGTCTCGGAGGAGAAGCCCCCAGTCCAGGGCACTGATGAATGGGTGGAATTGCATGTGACCTGTGATATGATAAAGGGAGGCCCGGGGGGCTGTGGGGGTACAGAGGAGGGGCCCCGACCTCGTGTGGTGAGGGTCAGAGAAGACTTCCTGGAGGGGGTGACATTAAGCTGAATCCCATAGAGCCAAAGATGGGGAGATTATCCTAGAGCCCAGGGGTGCTTAATTGGGGGTGGCAGGAAGTCCATGGATAGAATTCTGGGGGATCCATGAATTTAGAAAGGAAAAAAAATTACGTTTCCCCTAATCTCGACTTGAAATTCAGTCTCTCCTTTCGCTATGAATACTGGCGATAAGCCTCAACAATGTTAGCGCTTACCAAGGTGTCACCAATGGAAATCATGCATGTTCATATCACATGACAGTTGTTGCAAATAACTTGAAATTTTGTTTACACTCTTCACTGCTTAAAAATTGCAACAGTTACTAGGCCCACCACTAGATCTTTCTATTTAATGCATTGATGAAGAGACACATACATTATTATATTTAAATTGATTTTAATATTTTGATAAGTGTATTCAATGTAATTATAATTTCATTATAAGCCTCTGTATTCTACTCTGTGATTTAAAAGACGCTATTCTGAGATGGGGTCCTTAAGCTTCAGCGGTCTGGCAGGGGGTCCATGGCACAGAAAGGATTGAGACCCCCTGAAAGCAGCATTCGTATTAGCTTAGAGGTGAGCGTGGGAACCGCAAGTGGTTCCCTGGCTGGAGTGAGGGGACGGTGGTGCCAGGTGAGGTTCAGCAGGTAGAAGGGGCCAGATGTCCGGCAGCCTCGTAAGTTACCCCCTTGATGATCAAGAAGGGCGAGCCTCAAAGATTTTGGCAGGGGTGTGTGTGTCTGTCTGTGGGCATGAATAGACAAAGCCTGGAGGCAGGGAGGATGTTCCAGCAATCCAGGAAAGAAATGATGCGAGTCTGGACTAAGGTGCTGGCAGTAAGTCACTGGCTGTAACTGAATGAGCAGGGATGAGGTCGTGGAAGGCAGAGGAGGCTGCGGGAGGCAGGTCTGCTGGGGGAGGAGTCGGGGTTTGGGGTTTGCATATGTTGAATCTCAGATATGTATTATCTAGGTTTCCTGAAAGAAACTCAGTTCAATCCAGCTTGAGCCAAAAAGAACTTGTGATCTCGTTAGCTGGGAAGTCCAAGGGCCAATCCTACAGTCGTGGCTGATTGTAGGGTTGCAGCAGAGGTCACAAGGACTTGCACTCTCTCTCCGCATCTCATCTCTTCACAATTTCTCTCTGAACATTAGGATTTTCTTTTCCTTGAGTAGGTTTGCTTCGCATGGCAGAAAAATGGCCGCTAGTGCCTTGAGCTTATATTTTAACAGTTTATGCTCCAAAAGGAAGAGAAATTTTTAATGAATTCTTAAGGAAGAACCCTAATTGGTCCTGCTGGGGTCACGTGCCTACCTCAGGACCAGAGTGCTGTGTCTCTGCCGGAGTCCGCCTGGGCCAGGCTACCAGAGCTGTGTGGGCATCACGCGCCATGATCCCAGAAGGACCAGGTAGAGGGAGGAGGAGCATGTTCTCTAAGAAAGAGATGCTGGGAGCCGAAAACAACACGCCCATGCTAATGTGGCTGTGGAACCTCCCTCCAGGCGAGATGTCCAACGGGCAGATTAGATGGTTCCAGAGTTCAGCCCCTCCTCCCAAAGGAAGACACTCAGAGCTGGGGATCAGGACGTGAGGCTTCAGTCACCTCCTGGTGGACCTCCTGGGCTCCTCTCAGCCTCTCATCTTCTCCGCTCAAAGACCCAGCCCTGCATGGCAGATGCGGGCACATAATAATGGTTTTCTCTTCAGGATCCTTAAGAAGGTATTCAGAGGTGACAATGCCAATCGCAGACCTCAGGGTACCTATTATCATTAAAAAGCACCCAAATGGCAGAAAGAGTCGCTGGCATCCATATGGGCACCAGACATTCTGGTTAGGTGACTTTCTATTTCTGCCATACAGGCTGATGATGCTTGTCTGCTAAATCAGTTTTAATTATACGGCTTCCAGAACATGCCATTCAGATCCTGTTTTAGCTGTGCCGGTAACCCTGGGCGGTGTTTCGTTCAGCTGGGCAGCAAGAAGGCTCCTGGCTAATTAAATAGCTGGTCTGGAGATGGCAAGGGTGGCCACCTGTTAAGTATGGTCCGCAGGGTTGACATAACCAAGTAACCCCGCGTAGAAGTCAGACCGCTTTCATCTCCATCCTCACCAGGCGGAGTGTGGTTTGATCGCAAGAGATCTGGCCCCTAATCCAGCCTTGCCTACATAATAGGTGTGTGGCCTTGGGCGAGCCACTTAATCCCTGGGAGCCTCAGTTTTCCTCACCTGCCGAATGGGTATAATACTTCCCTCCCAGGCTGGTGTGAGGTAAGGCAGAAGAGAAAAGTGCGTTTGGAACACTAGCGCATAGTTCAAAATTAGTGGTTTCTTTCCCCCATAGCATCC